ATGATAGGAGCAGGACGGTATTATGAAAAATGAAAGATTGAAACTGAAGAATGAATTCTCTCCTAACCCTCTCACAATAAGAATCTCACTGAGAAGAGGTAATAGAAGCCAAGGAGTATCTCCGATGCTATGAAATATATTGATAAACTGATATCCTTCCAGGAGGATGGACTAGCATATTTATAATGCTGGAATACAAAGAAATAACCAAATATCCCTACTTTTTAGGCACTAACAGAAAGATAAGACTAACTGACCATGACAGCAAGAGTGGACCTATTATTGTGCTAACAGAATGGAAACACATTTTAAAATAATCAGACTTAGTCAAAACTTAAGCCCTATTATTGTGCTAATAAAATAATTAAACTCAGTCAAACTTAAGCCCTCCTTTTACGCCTCTGATAAGTCCTGATTGGTTTGGGATTTGTATCAGGATCTGTTTTGTTGTGTGTTTGCTTACGATTCAAAACTTAAAGGACATTCTTTATGTTCTGTTCCTCTTCCTTGGTTCAGTGCTTGAAATATATGGAAAAACATTGCTGCAAGTCTTATTCGAAAACTGTTTTTTTTTTGCTTTAAAAGTTTCATTTGTATTGCAACATTTGAAAACACAGATACATATAATTTAGTAATCTGGTTGTGGTTTTGAATTCAACAAATTCTGGGTTTCATTAGAATACCTAATGGAGAAGAGTTCCAAGCGTGTGCATCATGTATAAATCACAAATATGATCTCAAATTCTTTTTGCCTGTTTTATTAACTTATTTAAATTCATCTTGTTCGAACTAGGAACCCTATCTGTGTGAGGAATGGCAAGAAGGGGCGAGTCATCTGCGGTTGAAATTGACGACGACTCAGAAAGAAGAATCTAGTCTATGTGTCTCAGGTGTTTGGGGGGGGGGGGGGGGGTTGGAACCAGTGGATAGATGGTTTTGTTTGAATGGTGATGTTACAGCCGGGGGAGTATGGAGAAGGTGTCCGGGCATCAAATGCAAAGCGAGACAAATAGATAGATTTGAAGACCTGCCACACCTTGGTTTTGTTGAATCCATGTTAATGGATGGTTCTATCTACCATGTTTGTGCGTGGGGATGTCTGGGCACCTTGTGGAAAATTCACCACCCCTTCAGGTGTAGGGTCAATGACCCTAGTTGATATGGGAGAAGGCACTGTTTTTCACGTCCGGTGTCTCCTGCCATATTCAGATATAGGATGTTGGCTTTTTGAATGCTCCCGGTTACATTTCAAGATTAATGAAAATGGAGTGGTTGAACTGGGAAAGCCAGTTGCCTATTCTGCCAGCGGCTGCAATGGGTTTCCTCTTATCCATGGCAATCATCCCTAGATGCAAATGCACTAAATTGCAGTAGCAGCAGCAGCAACCAATTAGTTGCTTGGACAATGTTATGGGTTTACTTGGTACTTAAAAGTAGTTAACCGAACATTGGGACAATTCCTTAGAGTCCCTGTCAATTCTAATCCGAGGACATATGGATACTCGTACTCCTGACCGTATCCGTATAAGTTGTAACCGGTACTGATAACTCAACTTCTCATCTCCGGTTCGACCACATCGTAGCAGCAACACATGCAGAGGAGGTGGGGAAGGAGAAGATGCTTCCAACTTAATAACAACTCGGATCATCTTTGTATGTTTTCCTATCTTCATCTTTCAATGGCCAGGCCAGGAAGGCCCTTCGCATGGATCTGATTACGGTACTACAGTACTACTCCCTTTGTCCCAAAAAAAAGTTACATTTCATTTTTTTTGCAAACCCCAAAAAATATTTTTACCCACATCTAAAATGCCTAAAAATTACCACATTTACCCTTTATTGTGGGTAGAAGTCGTTTTGAAATTTTTTTGACATTTGAGACGATATAGAAGTGTTTTATGGGATGCGCAAAAAATGAAACGTAACCTTTTTTTGGGGACGGACGGAGTATATTATTTTTGTCATGATACTAGTTTTTTTTATAGTATTAAAATGAAATTTGAATTCATTCTATTTATCTTGTTTGGGCTCATCAATGAAATATGAAATTTGATTTTTTTTTTATTTCTATTAATTTTGTCTGGGCTTATCAATATCTAAAGTTGGGGTTTCACCCACTTGTTTCTAGGATGTGTGTTTATATCTTTGTAATTATAATGCTCTAATAAGGTGTTACTTCAATACTTCAAGGACATCATGTACATAATATTTCTCTTAGGTTCGTTTGACATCAGTTTTAGAGGTTAGCGTCAACATTTTGAAAATGCTATGTGATGGTAGTCTTTAGTGTTAGCGTTTTCAGAATTAATCTACACTGTTAAAATTTTATCTGAAACGCTAACGCTAATTGAAAATGTTATTCCCAAACAAGGTCTTAACCTCACTCTTTATTTATACTCTCAATAGTGCTGAAATAAAAGGGAGTGATAATTTAGATTAGTGTGACGGTGAGTTCATAATTTTGTTTCACTTCCAGTGTTGTATAATTGTATTCATTTCATTAGCTAATAGTAATGTTGCAATTTTTTTAATTTTCTCAATGTAATGCACTAACTAGAGTCCGCCTTTAATTTAGAGTCCAACTTGCACTTTTTTCGCCTCTAAACTAGAGACGGATTTTTCCGCCTCTAAATATAACAACTAAATACTCCGTATATATTAGCAGCGGATTTTAGAGGATTAGAGGCTAATTTCTTTTTTTACAATAATATTTGTAGAGATATACCCACGTATGAAATGTACTGATGGCAACGCAAGAGCTGCCAAATTTTTTTGTACTTCTCAATTATGAGTATTAAATTAAATCACAAAATGGTACGTGACAAACAAAATATTCCATAGTTGCCAGAAGATTTTTAATAATTGGACTAGTACTATTATCTTTGGACACTAGCATAGTATATAAATTAAATCTAGAAACTCGATTCGTATATTCATCTATGGATATACACGCCCGTAATTAGTCAGTAGTTTGTACTCTCTCCGTCCCAAATTATAATGCATGTTCACTATTCATATGGTCAAATTTCATTAATCTTTTTTTTCTATTTTCATTAGCAATTTGATAAAAAAAGTACTATTGTCACTACTAGTTTTGTAGATATTTTGATGTAGTATTTTAATATGTAATTTTTATTTTTTAACTCTATACCATTTGTCATATAAAATGATTTGAAAATAATTTCAGTCAAACATCGTAAACCGAAACAGACACTATAAATTGGGACGGAGCGGGGGTATTATATTGGTATACTTCGATGAAAAAACTTTTTTTATTAACGTTAGAATTTTGGATTAGATTTTATTAATACGGAAGAATTAACTAGAAACATCAATACTCAAGGACATATTAAAAAGATACATATGAAATGTAACTTAAGAATATGGTATAATTTAATATGTATACTTTGGAACCACAAATTGAGGAGATGGATATTGTCAATTTTCGAACTGTTATTTCAGGAACTTCAATTGAAATTATGATCCTTATTTAATTAGTGAATGATAATAAATTTAAAAAAAGAGAGAAGAATAGATGAATATAATGATGGACCGAACCAAGTAGAAATAAATAGAGAAAATTTTAACTTGAGAAGCTGTTCAAACCCCAATTTCAAGTTGTACATGTGGAAATGGGTTCGGCCCATTTTCAAGTTGAGCTACACGAGTTTCGGATCACCCGAATTTTTTGCCCATCACTATTTGAAGAAGCACACACACTAGGACTTGAACGTTGTTAAATGTATGGTGCTTGAATCATCTAGATATTATTCACTCATTGTTAATTATTGACAATGTTTATGTTTTGAACACATTATAAACCAATTCAAAGTCACCCAATAATCTATCATTTTATTATTATAGTATTTCTTTCGTCCCAAAGTCTCCTTCCTATTTTGTTTTTTTATGAAATTTAAGAGGTAATATTTTTGTATTAATGTTTTCAAAATATTTTTGAGGTGGTAGGTAGATTATGAATGAATAAATAAGATGTGATATGTAGAATAAAAGTATTTTTTCAATAGAAATGAAAAAGAAATTTTGGGACAAAAAAAAAGGAAGAAAAACTTTTAAGAACGAAAGAAGTACTTTTTACGAGAGCTCGAAAAGTATAGCAATGTATTTCCTGTTATTATGATCGAATTACTTATGGATATTGGCCTAGCCATTGGGTCGAGGAAGGCCTAATAGTGCCATTGTAACAGCCCAATAAAAGTAAAAGCGCTTGGTGCCCGTTGTGCGGATGAGGCGAGTAACCTGGTAAGGTGACAGGTTGAGCCCAGCTCAACGTCACAGCTCAACGTCATATCACACAATATAGGGAGAGCAATTCCACGAGCGATTATCCAGTTAGTCTGATATTGTAGTACACGAATTAAATACCTTGTATGCGAAAATGTTAGACTATAAATAGGAGGTGACTCCTTTATTGTAATGCAAACTGAATCAATCTAATATAGAGATACAAGAGTTATATTTCATTCTGTATGTAGTTATTGTTTACGTTCAAGTTCTTTGTGCCACCATAGACGTTAGGCTAAATCTCATAAATTACTTTGTATGATGTTTAAATTATTTGTTTACTATTCATATGGTCAAATTTTATGTACTTTTTTCTCCTATTTTTGTTAGTCACTATTAGTTTTATAAATCTCAGTTTTTAAATATGTAATTTTTATTACTCCATATTTAATTATACATGATTTTTCGTATAAAATAATTTGATAATAATTTTAATCAAACATCATAAATCAAAACAAAAAATTAAAATTGGGACGGAGATTTTGTCAAAAATTTTTTGTAGTTTAATCATGGTAGTTTAAACTTAAGTCTTTTAAACCCATACCTCAAACCAAGCTTATGTGTAGCAGAGATCTGTCCGTCAAACCATCTAAAAGACAACCCTCCCCGATATACGCGAGCCACTGCTTGTGACTGTATAAATCTATACATACAACAAATCTGTATACGCTTAATTAATCTCTCTCTCTCTCTCTCTCTCTCTCTCTCTCTCTTTCTCTCTCTCTCTCTTCTCTGCTAAAGGTCTAAAGCTTCCGTCTGGTCTTTTTCCACCTTCCTTTTTCTCATCATTACTCATTCCTTACATCTATCTCAATTCTTCTCCATTCCCAGTCTTCCCAAAACCGACCCGGGAAAGAGTAGTTATTGCTGCACCGCTGCATTCTTGAAGAATTTCCCCAGGAATGCCACTGGAATTCGCTGCATAGCCTTCTGAATTTCCAGCTATGGGAGCTTGCACCTCCAAATCTCACAGACCCAATCCATATTCCCCCCGCGAAACCCTAGAGGCGCCGCAGGTTCTCGAAACTCCGGCCCACAGCTCCGCCACCGACGCCGGCAAGAAGTCCCCTTTCTTCCCTTTCTATAGCCCCAGCCCCGCGCACCATTTGTTTGCCAAGAAATCGCCCGGGCGGGCCTCGACTGCGTCCAGGAGTGATGGGTCTACGCCCGGGAGGCTGTTCAAGCGGCCGTTCCCGCCGCCTTCGCCGGCTAAGCACATAAAGTCGTTTCTTTTGAGGCGGCACGGGAGCGTGAAGCCCAATACGCCGGCGATCCCTGAAGGAGAGGAGACGGAAGGAGCTGATTTGGACAAGAGTTTTGGGTTCTCCAAACATTTTACCAGTAGGTACCAGATCGGGGAAGAGGTTGGGCGAGGTCATTTTGGGTATACTTGCTCTGCTACCGGTAAAAAAGGCGACCTTAAGGACCAAAGAGTTGCTGTGAAAGTCATCCCCAAGTCCAAGGTTTCTCTCCACTCATTTTAATCTTCTTGCTTGAATTGTTTAACGGTACAGTTGAAGTTTTCTTCTTTTTTTTTGGGTTACCCGGGGGTATGATTCTTTGAACATTGATTGATCAAAAGGTATACATTCTCCTTTTTTTACTTCTTTCTGGGATTAATTCTAATGACGGGTTTTTGAAATTAAAGAAGCATTGAATCTAGAAACTCATCATGCCTGTTTCTTTGCAGTCAAGATGCATTTTTTAAACTGCTCTTGATGCATAAAGAGAAATAGATTGCAGACTCGTTTAGTATGTAGAGCTGGCTTGACTTTATTATAAAGTAAAACTGGAGGAGGATCACGGCTATTGTTAGAACAAAAAAGGAGTATTTGTAACTTGGAATGACTCTTCTTTTCATGCATTTTGCTTTATTGACAGAAATTGGTTTCTAGGGGAATGGTTTGGATTTTTTTCATACACTGCTACAGTTTAAAGTAAATAATTCAAATTCAGTAGGCTAAAAAGAGATCCTATAGTCATTCTAATATCAGATCATCATGAGAATAAACCAACCAACCAAACAAACCCTTATCCCACTCAGCGGTAAAGGACGGGAAGGATATGTAATGAGGTTAGAAGTCAATACCCAGTTGATTTGCTAGCAAGAAACTTTATGTGATAATCTGAACTTGAAAGCTGCAAATAGTGTGGTTAATGACTTAGTAAGGGATATGATGGACAGTTCTTTCTCAGAAATCTGTTTTCTATTCCCCCCAAGAAATTGGTCTTACGAGATTTTTATTGAGCGGATTTAACATAACATCTGAATGGTGATAATGTGCAATGATGTCTTTTTCATTGTTTGGGATTGTCGCGCATTTGTGAAAAAAAAAGACAGATACTTAGATCTCTATTATCCCCGTGTAAAAGGCAGACTGTTGTATCTTACTCTAAATCTATTGCTTGCCAGATGACTACTGCCATAGCAATTGAGGACGTGAGAAGGGAAGTGAAAATACTGAGAGCCTTGGCAGGACATAGCAATCTTGTTCATTTCCACGATGCGTTTGAAGATCAAGATAATGTTTATATAGTAATGGAGTAAGAATGTTAAACCGAATCTAATTTGAGATCCTATTTTTTTTCTTTGTTCCATATGGTTCTTGTTCAAAGAGGATTGATGAATGATTAGATTTATGGTTTAAGACTTTTTTTCGTCATTTATTTAACCTGCATTAACTATTCTGATATTCTTTACACTTTCTTTCAGGCTGTGTCTTGGTGGAGAACTCCTAGACAGTATACTTTCAAGGTAACATTCGTTTCGTTTGGATCTTCATCTCATAACATGATTTCCATTGCTCATTCCTTTTTAAATTAAAGATCGTTTTATTGATTCATAGGGGTGGAAAGTATTCTGAAGACGAAGCACGAGGTGTCATGATACAGATATTAAATGTTGTCGCATTTTGCCATCTCCAAGGTGTGGTGCACCGTGATCTTAAACCTGAGGTAAATAAAAATAGAGACATATATTAAAAAAAAGAACACTTTTAACTGCAATGGGTGTTCTCTGCATTCCTCCATGAATGTTACTCCATATTGTTTTTCTTTTGTTGTCAGAATTTTCTGTTCTCTTCAAAGGATGAAAATTCCCAGTTGAAAGCAATAGATTTTGGCTTATCAGATTTTGTCCGGCCAGGTTAGATATGCTTCGAACTCATTTCGCTTTAAAAAATGTTCTAAAATATTATACTACGCAGTATAAGTTAATATAAAATATATAGTTTGACTTGGTTTGTTCTTTGTAATCACATGCAGATGAAAAACTTAATGATATTGTTGGGAGTGCGTACTATGTTGCGCCAGAAGTTCTACAGAGATCATACAGTACAGAAGCGGATGTGTGGAGTGTGGGGGTAATAGCGTACATTCTTTTATGTGGCAGTCGCCCATTCTGGGCTCGGACCGAGTCTGGAATCTTCCGGGCGGTCTTGAAGACCGAACCCAGTTTTGATGAAGCACCTTGGCCTTCAATCTCTTCAGAGGCTAAAGACTTTGTCAAGTGGCTGCTAAATAAAGACCCTCGCAGACGAATGTCAGCTGCTCAAGCATTGTGTGAGTTTTCTTCTCTTTTAAATTTTGTCTTCCTCTTTTGGAGTTTCATTTTCCTCTTGTGTTTACTTTGTTGATTTACTTCGTTTGCTTCCAGGTCATCCTTGGATCCGGAATCACATCAACGTTAAATTGCCTCTAGACATTCTTGTGTTCAGACTCATGAAGAGCTATATGAGGTCATCTTCTTTGCGTAAGGCTGCGTTGCGGGTAAGTACTTTAAGGCTCTGTTTGGAACCGAACAAAATGCTTGTGGAATGTGTGAAAATGCTAAGTTTTTTTTATTATTCTAAGTATAATTAGATTTTAAGCTCTGTTTTCTTGACAGGCATTGTCTAAAACATTGACGGAGGATGCACTCTTCTATCTAAAGGAGCAATTTTCGTTGTTCGAGCCAGATAAAAATGGCACTATAAAGTTGGATAACATTAAAACTGTAATTTGCTTATAATCCCTTCTTCTCTTGCCATAATAATACTGAGCATTTTCTCTAATTATTATTATTATTATGATTATTAATCCCCTTTTTTTTAAAACAGGCTCTGCTGAAAAATGCCACGAATGCCATGAAGGAATCACGTGTACCCGATTTACTTGCTGCAGTACGTGTAACCTTTTTTTTTTGCGGTCAATCAATTTTCGTTTAACTTGATTATGGTGAACGAGTGGTTTGATTAGTGGAGTAATGTGTGGCAGCTAAATGCGCTCCAATACAGAAGAATGGACTTTGAAGAGTTCTGCGCAGCGGCACCAAGTGTGCATCAGCTGGAAGTTCTTGACACTTGGGAGCAACAAGCTCACTGCGCGTATGAAGCTTTTGAGAAAGATGGAAACCGCGCAATCATGATCGAAGAACTTGCATCCGTAACTTCAAATTTTTACCCTTTTTTTTATATTTTTTGTGACGAAGCCATCATCATCATCATGTTGTTGTTCTTGAATTGCAGGAACTGGGATTAAGTCCATCAGTGCCAGTACATGCAGTTCTGCATGACTGGTTAAGGCACACAGATGGGAAGCTAAGTTTCCTTGGGTTTGTCAAATTGCTGAGAGGTCCTTCTACCAGGACACTTGTCAAGGTCCAGTAAACAAAGTCACTTTCGTGGAGGGGCTATCTTGCTATTTTTTTTAAATAAAAAAAAATAGCATTCTGCCAAACAACAAATCTGAATCACTGTGGCAGAGAATCTCCAATCAGTTGAAAAAAGAAATCTCATTGCTCACAGTTTTTTATTTACTTATTGTCAATTTTTTTTCTCTTCATTGGTGATAGTCAAAGGCTTTGTCTGATCATTCTCCCACATGATCCAAATTAGTAGTGGTGTATGTGTGTGTGTGTGTATTTGGAATCTGGACTTTTTTTTGTGTACAATGTAAATTAGATGAATTGTGTGTATATGTGCAAAATTCACCTCAATCAAAGAGAACAGTAGTCATCATATCATATTTATACAAATATTGGAATATTAGATGTTGCTTACCAAATACTCTTTACCAATTCTCACTTATTTCAAAGCTTGATCTCTTAGGTTGTTGACAAGATTGAAAAATTGTGGTGATTTTAAATATTGTACACCATAGAGATTTGTCTTATTAGTTGAACCGTTTCTTGATTCTTACTTGTCCCTAAGGTCACTCCATTGAAATTTAAAAATGGAAAGGAGAGAAGATGAGAGAGAGAGAGAGAGAGAGAGAGTAAGAATTAGATTTAAAAAAATAAGTAAATTTTTTAATGTATTACTCACTTCGTCTAAAATTAAATTGTTTGTTTACTACGGAGTATTTATATGATCAAAATTTTATTCATTTTTTGTTTTTTATTTTTGTTAGTCGTTTGATAAAATAATATAGTTATGGCATCACTGATCTTGTAGATCTTTTAATATTGTTTTTAAATATGTAATTTTATATTTTAATTTTTCACTATTTTTCATATAAAATAATTTGAAAATAACTTCAATCAAATATTGTAAATCGAAACAAGTAATTTAAATTGGGATGTAAGGGGTAAAGTTATAAATCAAATACGGTGTGAATATTTATTTTAAAATTATTTAAATATTTATCAATCACATAAAAAGGTTTACATTCTTAGATACACATAAGAATTTGTCTTTAGAGCAACTGATCCAAATGTGTAAGCAAGTTGATTTTTTTTTAAAGAGCAATTTGAAGTAATGGGGAGGTTCGTGCGACATTAGTCCCCTGGCATTTTTCATTGTTTTTCAAATGTCTATAGACAAAGCTCTATAGTACAACCATAGGCAGTTTATTTTCAATATGGGTCGGGCATACTAAGCCAACTCCTGATATATACACAAAGAGCACTTTAAAAAATCAGCCATTCAATAATGGTGTTGTTGTTGTGAATTGGTATCAATTAATTATTCAACTGTAATCCTTTTTAATACTTGTACTCCCTCCATCCCCCTAAGATGTTCTCATTTTGACTTTTGGTGGTTTTTAAGGAGAGTTGAAAAAAAGTGAAAGTTACCATAATACCCTTAATGAAAATGGGTGGAGTGTATTAAATGAGGTGGTGAGGTGTAATAAATAAAGTAAGTGAGGGTAGTTGTGGTATTTTAATTGTTAAAAAATGAAATGAGAAGATCTATTGTGGACAAAGAAAAAGGGCTATTAGGAAGATCTATGGGGGACGGAGGGAGTATTTTAAAAAAAAAACTACTAAACAAGCCAAAATAAATTGTTAGTACTATAATGCTCAATTATTTAATACTCACCTACTAATTTGGGCTGCACATTCCATCAAAGGATGCAAAGAGTTAGATTTGGGTGGTAAACAAAACTCCAAAAGCTTATCTAAGATAACGTGCACGAAATCAAAGCTTGCATAATGTTTAGATTTCCACATGAATTTCAATTGCAAAATATGAGCTTGTTTGATTCAACTTATCTAATTACTGTAGTTCTGGTCTCATTTGATAAAATTCCTGATTTGATCTGATTGTAGTTTTATTTAAAATTATTTCTGATCTGATTCTGATACAAACAAAAAAAATACTCCGTAGTAAGAAAAAAATAAGCTAAAGAGAAAAAGCTCTATGTTAGCAATATTCTTCAGAAAAATTGTGCTTCTTGGTACCGAAACCTTCTCATTTGGGTACTTGTCTCTGCATACAAGTCTGGGAACTTGATTTTGGATTTCAAAATCAAATTTGACTCAAATTACATATTTGGAAATCCCAAAAAAATGGAATTGGGCTAAACTCATCCCATTTCCAACAAAGCTCAATTACAATATACAAATTCATACACCCATTAAGACCTTAAAATTTGAAATCCAAGAATTCGAATTCCTAATTTTCCCACAGTGCCTTACAGAATTTGGAAAATTTTGTGTTTCAACATGCCTGGCCTCACCCAGAGACAAAAACTAAATGTTCAATACAACCCCATGGGATGGGAATCATGGAAGCTCTCAATCAGATAGAAAATGCCATTTTCAGGGTAAACACTTACTCATGGCAGCATCCTGAACTCCCCATTTGTATCAGAAAAAGAAAAGCATGGGGTCCTCCTATCTGGAAGAAGAAGAGAAGTGTTGATACAACTCATCAGCCAATGCTTGTCTCATGCTTTCGCCATAGTAATGCGAGCTCTTCTCGTTCTCCAACACCCTCTGCGACGACCCGTTCTCCTCCGGTTCCTTGCACAGCTCCGGCTCCGGTTCCCTTGCAATCTGGCACAAATTGTGCAGCACACAACACGCGACGATTGTTTGGGGCGCGTGGGTCAGGCCCACATTCATGTTCTGCATGATCTTCCACCTCCCCTTCAGCAGCCCTATGGCTTCTTCCACTGTCTTTCTCCCCTTCATCAGCATTTCATCAAACACGTTCTGTGCAGGGCTTCCAGTCCCATTCCCAGTGAAGGGAGTGAGCAAGAATGAGAGCAATGGGAACCCCCAGTCCCCGATTATGTATGGCCTCACATTCAGCCCCCTCACATTCATCCCTTTGTCCCAAACAATGTCACCGGAAATCAATCTGTTGTACAGCAAGCTGTCCCTGAAATGGGTGGCATTGTCGAACCCTCCTGGAGCTTTCACGCAGACATCCCAGAAGATTTTCTTGTGATCAGCCACGACCTGGAGCAGGACAGAAGGGAATCCGTAGCGGCAGTAGTACATGGAGGAGTTGATGGTGTCTGAGGGAAGATGTTGAAGCCTCACTGGGGTTCCATCAATGGCTCCGCAGATATTGGGGAGAAATGCGAGTTTTTGGAAACCCTGGGTGGTTTCCACCAGGCGGCGGCGACTCACCGGGATCTTGATGAACTCAGGGTAGAGCTTCGTGGCCAGGAGGCGGGTGACCATATTGGTAATTTTGGAAATTAGGTACGGATCGAGGCCGTAGCGCGAAGCTAGGGTTTTAGCAGAGAGGCCATGGGATAATCTGGAGAGAACCATAGCTACGGCGTAATCGGATGGGAGAGAGAGCTGGGATTGGGTGATGTAGGGTTTGAGCTTATCGACCACCGTCGTAAACACCGGGTATGAGAGTCCGTACAGAGATCTCCACTGCGCGTCGCGGAGAGGAGCTTCCATCGCCCATATGTGCTCCGTCGAGAGCGCGCGGAAAGCGGCGACGGAGAATTCCGCTGTCGTCGGGGAGGAGGGGGATTTGGGCTTTTTCTTAGGCTGGTGGGAAGCGATGTAGGAGAGAACGGAGGCGATCGTGAAGAAAAGGAGAGGAGCGGCTGATGTGGAGGTGAGTAGAGACGCCGGAGAGGCGGCGGAGGAAGCGGAGTCGGAGAGGAGGGAGGTGGCGGGGTCTAGCTGGTTGTGGAGGTGGAGTAGATTTGAGAGCATGAGCAAGAATGACTGATCCATCCTTCTCCTCCCTCTGCTCTGAATTACCTCCCGGCCGGCGGTTGATGTGGCGATAGGTTTTGGTTTCCTGACGGCGGCTGAGCCAATCTCCGGAGGCTAAGTGGAGACGGTGGTGAGGATGACAGTTAACGACGGACGGCGTAGGATAAGCCAAAAGATCAAACTAATTGAAATTTGCACCCTAAAGTCCCACTCCGTATACATTTGGGCCCCTAAAGTCTACATCTTTTACAAAGACGCCCACAATTCTCTTCTTCTTCAAAGTTTAAAATCATTTTCGCAATGGGCTGTACTTTATAGGTATTAGCCTTGGACGACGGTAATGGGCCTTAAAAGACCACAAGTGTAACACTAAATCCAACCATTCTAACAATGGCCCGTAAGTAAAATAAGGGTCAGTTAAATAAAATAATGGATACTCTGTAAATAAATTAAATTATCACCCTTGGGTAAACTATGTCGCTTGAGGCATGAGTAGGCATGATTAGGTACAAGTATGTGGACTTAAAATAAATAATGCAAAAAATGAATTATAATTAAAAAATTTCAATTTTATTCAATTCAATCTTAGAGAATTTTAATTCTAATTCAATTTTATGTACTAAACAGACCCTTAGAGTTTAATTTTATGGAAAATTTATAGACTTTGTATTTGTATACCCTTCGTTCTAGAATATTTGTTTGACTTTTTATTTTTTTAGAGTCTATAATAATCAGCATTTGGTGTTGTGACGAACAAGGCATTTTCTAACATTTGGCTTATAGCTAAACTATTACTTCACCACTACCAGCACCAACAACAACAACAACAACAACAACAATAATAATAATAATAATACTAGTAATAACAATAATTTATATCAACAAGAATCAGAATGAGAATAATTTAAAACCACACATAAAATTTTTTAAAAAACTTTTTTTAGATTTTACAATTTATTCTAGTTTTTTCAATTTCTTTTAATTTTTTCCAGTTTCTTACAGTTCCTTCTAGTTTTTCCAATTTTTTCCAGTTTCTTCAAGTTCCTTCTAATTTTTTCCAGTTTCTTCCAGTTTCTTCCAGTTCCTTCTAGTTTCTTTCAGTTTCCAGCTCTTTTTTTCCAATTCTAAAGAACAGGCTCTTAGTCGTGAACGAGGCTAATGGGCCTTAAAATAAGACCACAAGCATACCCCTATGGCTATATCCAATCATTCTAACAATGACCCGTAAATAAAATAAGGGTCAGTTAAATAAAATAATTTATACTATGTCCATTAAGGCATGAGTAGGTATAATTAAATAGCACAAAAGAATGTGAATTTGGAATTGATAATGTAAAAAATGAATTAGATTTTGAGCATTCAATTCCATCCAATTCAATCTCAGAGAATTTCAATTCTAATTCAATTTTAATTTTATCAATTTCATATATCAAACAGACCCTAAAAGTTTAATTTTACTGAAAACATCTAGACTCTATTTTGTATACCCTTCGTTCCAGAATGTTTGTTTGAGTTTTGATTTTTTAGAGTCAATCATATTCAACATTTTGCTTATAGTTAAATAAAGATTATATGATGTACTCCTTTCGCTCCTGTCTATTTGTCCACTTTGTAATTTTTTTGATTAAAATTGGTAAATTTTGACCTTAAATTAATAATAATTACATTAAATATTAAATCAAAAGTAGTTTTATTAGGTTTATTATATAAAATATATTTAAAATATTATTTTACCTAATTAATATATAATACACATTTTATTTAATTATAAAACAAAAGTTGAAAAGGATTAACTGAAAAAAAGTCAAAACTAGATATATATACACAGAGATGGGATATTATTAAATGGTTAAAACCATATTTCGAAATTATTTTAAAGGATGAATCAAAATTTTAAAATATTAATCTCAAAAGTAAAAAAATGAAAGTAATATTAATTTTATTTATGTTATTGTCAAAACTTATCAATTACCATTGCAAAAAATTAAAATTTGATAGTAGGAGTATTTTGAAACCTCAATGTTTAAATAAATCGAATTATCAACTAGAGTTGATAAGTAAGCGGACGGAGCTGAGGTGTGGTCCGTCAACGTGGGCCTGTGGAGCAAATTAACTTGTTGAGCCATCAGCGGATTGAATAGGTGTGGGCCATCTGTATGGGCGGTCGGGTTTTCCGTCTGTCGACTGTGACCCGCCACGTGTTTTTGACCGGTTCTTGGTCTAAGAAGACGGAGAACACATTCGCACAAAATCCTTGTGCCAAACGTTTTCCCCGGAACCCATCCATCCATCCATCGCCGTTTACTCACATTTTTTACTCTTCTTCATTTTCGTATTCTTGTTCACATTTGGTATTTAAAGTTTCTTTTCTCGCTAGAGTGGAAGAAAAATCATACTCTCTCCGTCCCCTAGTTTTTGTCTACTTTTAATTTTTGGAATTGTTCATCTAAGTATTCTGACTCATCAAATTCTCTCACCCCGTTTTAAAAAAACTATTTTCCGGCCTTTTCCAATGCTATAAAAAGAAATTCATATTTTATTTTGAAAAAGTAAGTGATTCACATTATTTCTTTCTTTTGTACATAAATTTTCATCATACAGCATTACTTTACATTAAATCTCATTATAATTAATTAAATGAAATAACAATCTTTTAAAATACACGATTAACATTATTAATTATTTCTTTCATTTCTGTAGAAATGTAACAATATAAATATTCCATTGTATTCTATATATAATCTTTTGCTTTATATTTTTACAAAACGTACCAGGTCAAAAAAAATGTGAAAAGAAACATAAACCATTTAATTTGTTGTTTCAATGTGTATAATATTTTTTATATCATCTTAATTACTTATAGATATTGATATATATGGTCTTGAATTTATAAATAATAACAAAAAAAGTGATGTCAAAATTAAGATTCCCCAACTTAATTTGGAATTTAAAAAATACTTGATTCATGATTTACCTACACTTTATACTTCAGCTAGGCAACACTTAAAAGATGCACAAATGTCAATTGCTCTTTTGGAACATGAATATTCCTACCTTCTTAAATTTGAATTTGATCACATATTTTGGGTACATATATTTTTATAATAATTGTCTATTAAAAATTATTCAATATATATTAAATTTTGAATGAATGTAATTTTAAATATATTTATTACTCCGTACTTATTAGTGCAGTGTTCTAAAAAAACCTTAAATATACTTACGTTAATTCAAAATCTAATATATACTCGTATATAATAAATTTTAATTGACCAAAATTTTAATATATACTCTTTGCATGATTAGTAACACAAAATTTAAAATAGTATTAATTAGCAAACTTTAAACTTCAAAAGCACAAAAAGCACGGAGCATTTATTTTAAACAAACAATTCAAAAGCATCTCCCTCAACAATTGAGATTTAATAATTTCAAAATTCAAAGCAATTAATTTAAAACCACTTCTCTATCTCTAATAAAATTTAAATGTTGAGTAATTATAATTATTGCCATATACCGGAGTATTATCAATTTACTTCTATCCGACAAAGAGTATCAAAACAAAAATTACAAAATCAAGAATAATGATAAATAAAAAAACATTGCTAAACGCTCCATCTGGTTAATTAATCATGCAGGATACTCCATCTATCATAAATAAAATATTCTATCCGTCCTGAAATTTATTGCAAATTTTTTTTTGATAAAATAAAATATTTATGTGATCTCTTGTTTTATAAACTTTGATTACGTAAATTTTTATAATGTAAATTTTATTAATTTTATACCAATTCTAAAATAAAATAATCTTTGAAAATACAAGTGTTTTACTTCATAATGAAAAACTTCTAATAATCTAATTGGGGATTGAGAAAAAATATAATTACGGTTCACGTAGTACAGGATCAAATTAAAGTATATCCTACGGAGTATCTTTTAATTTTGTATACTTTGTTTTTAATGTAATTAAATAACATAATTATATCACCTTTGGTTTTAAAATTGTTTTTTAACTAGTTTTGAATAATACATTTTATTTTAAAGCTTTACAATTATTTTAAAATAAAATAAAATAATGTATTTTATTTAATACTCCGTATTAGGAGGTGGCTAGCGATCGGACATAGACGTATAAGCAAAACTACTACGGGTACTACCTCTGACAGAAAAGTCGTAATGGGCCGACTGATTATAGAGGCCCAAGCAGCCCAATAGCCCTTGCTTGTACGGCAAGGAAGTCTTCCTCTTCAGCTCCTCCGACACCGTCGTCCGCCGCATCGTGTAATGCCGCAGCTCGCGACTCTCCGCCGCAGCCGGCCTCCTCCTCCGTCTCCTCGAGACCGACGACCCTGAAGATCCGTCCTCTTCCTCCGCCGCCGCCGCCGTGTATTTCTTCATCGCCTGCGTGGCGCTACTCGCCCGTCCTTCCGACGCGCTTCTGAACAGAAACAGATCTTTCAGTTTCCATTTCCCCGAGAAAACCGTTGAGAGAAACGAGGGGGGCGGAGAAACAGGGGAATTTATATTTTCTCCGGCGATGCTCTGTTTCTGGTGGTCGAATAGCAAATCCGACACCCGAAACGGGGACAGAGATCTCGTCGATTTGTGACGAGGATTAACGGAAGGACGAGGTTCCCTTCCTCTTCGTCGCCGGCTCTCTTCTCCGAGCGCCGATTCCGCCGCCGGAGATTCTCTGATGTTTTGCGGCTGAGATTGAGGCTTCAGAGGTTTAATCTTGCCGGAGTCGAAGAGCTCGTCGGCGGCCGAAAAATAAGTCTTTCCTAGCGGCCCGCTGAATTCAAAATCAAAATCATCACAGATGATGTCTTCTTCTTCCTCCGGAGATGCGCCGGCGGTAGCAAAACGCCGAGGACTGGAAGGAGCACTGATGTAAGGGGTGTTGCATGCACTGTCGAAGTTGAAGTCCGCCGGCGGCGGCGGCGGGAGCGTTCCCATCTCTTATCTACGTTTTAATATTCTCCGTGAATTAATTAAAATAAGGTCTCTCTTGAGGATGGCCGGAGCCAATCAGATACTCCGTAATATATATAGTTATATACACAGAGAAAGAGAGGTAGCATGTTACATCTACTCTCCTTGGGTTTATGTGTGTAAAAAAAATAAATTCTCCTACTCTTTCAAATAAAAAATAATTTTTAAAATTTGTACTCATTATAGTGGTACAACAAAGTCAAGTGTCTTAATCATCAAGTTTCTAATTTCATTTTATAGAACTAATTCGGAGTATTAGTATAAAAATAAAAATATTATCAAGAGTTTAATTTACATACTATCATAGTCTTTGAGTATTAGTTTAGTTGATTTTTTACAATGAAAATAGATAAACTTTGACAAATAATTAAATGAAATTAACGATGTGTGTGCAAAATATGTGTCACTCATGCAATTCATCATCAACGATCATCGATATAACATGTTATCGATCCATCTTAGCGAGTGTTTGTTAATACTAATATCACGTGTCCAACAAATTTGAATAATGCATTGTTTCCACATAAACAAGAGTCGACACGAAAAGATGTGAAGCGTGTGTGTTCAAAGTCCTCCAATCGCGATGGCACGATAGTGAAAGGCTTTGTACGCTTGTGGTGTCAATCGTTCAGGTCGAACATTATGTTTACATGTATTGTCATACATGCATAACGAACCTGGTTGTCAAAAACAATGAAGACTTCAGTATTTGTTTTGCATATATGACGGAGACGCAACCACTTATAGGGTGGCACCCGTTGTGCGGGGTCTAGCGAATTAAGGTTTACCATTAAATTTAGGACGTGCTACTATATACATGAAGGATGCCATGCTACCTTCTAAGATGATTTAGTCCAAGAAATCTAGAGACACAAATAACAATAGTAATCAACTCATGTATTGAAATATATTTTTAAATTTTTATTTTAGTTGTATGCATTTTATATTTATTTTAATATAGATTGTTGTTGTTAGTATTTTTATTTTAATTATTTTTATTATATTTTTTTTATATAAGCGCAATTAAAATGATTAATACTGTAATATAGATGGAGAGGTGGGGGAGAGAGGGCAGTAACATTAAAGGTGTATAATAACCTTGTTGAGGCAATAACTAGGGAAAGTCCGTCTCATTATACATGCTGTAATTAAATTGGTAAAAAATGACCCCACCTATTTTTTATTTGAAGACCGACTGGAAAATACCGAGTTATGAACGAAAGTTTTGTTGACCAATTTGAAACGACCCGCTAAAAATGGTTAAAATCTAACCTAACCCAAATCTAATCCTTTAATGTAAAAATATTTCAAAATCACATGTGCTTATTTAATCATTTTCCTTATTTATTTTCGTTAGTTAATTGTTAAAATAACAGAGTTCTATCACTTTTTATTTTGTAAAACTTTTAATGTAGTTTTTAAATATATAAAGTTTTACTCCTATAATCAAATAAATTAAATTTAAAACAAAATTAATCAAACTTCGTAAACAAAATGAGAAGATTTTAAGAAAATGCTAGAATCACCACATGTACTTCAGAAACCCAAAAAGACATGTGGACCAAAAATGGGACACGAGTGAAACTTTTGCACCATCATGGAAGGTTCGTTTTCCTAACCACTTCACAGGCTCCCACAGTCTGCTTATCTACCACGTAGTCGCTCTCCTTCATTCCATTCAGCCATGGCGTCAACGACCTCAACAAAAGTCGTTCACGATTTCCACCCCTTCTTCCGCATCTACGACGACGGCCGCGTCGAGAGAGGCATTACCTACGTCTCCGTCCCCGCCTCCGACAACCCAGAAACCGGCGTCAGATCCAGAGACGCCGTGGTCGTGCCGGAGCACAACGTCTGGGTCCGCCTTTATCTTCCCCGAATCAACGAAGACGGCCAGAAATTCCCCGTCGTCGCATACGTCCACGGCGGCGCATTCGCGATCGAGTCCGCCTCCTCCTCCACCTACGACAGTTACCTCCACTCCCTGACGGCGAAAGCAAACGTCATCACCGTCTCGGTCGATTACAGGCTAGCACCGGAGCACAGGCTCCCCGCCTGCTACGACGATTGCTGGGCCGCAATCCAGTGGGTCGCGCAGGGATCCGACCCGTGGCTGAAATCCCACGCGGATCTTGACCGGGTCTTCTTCGCCGGCGACAGCGCAGGGGGGAACATCGCGCACAACATGATGGCGAGAGCGGGCGGCGGAGACTGCCTGAAGCCGGCGGGGATGGTCTTGGCGCACCCGTATTTTGGAAACGGGAAACCCGACAAGCTGTGGGAGTTCATATACCCGGAATCGTCGGGCGTGGACGACCCGAAGCATAACCCGGCGGCATCCCCGGGGATTCTTTCCGGGATGGCGTGCTCGAAGGTGATGGTGATCCTGTCGGAGAAGGATTTCATCAGAGAGGGAGGACTGAAGTACTACGAGGCGCTGAAGAAGAGCGGGTGGGGAGGAGATCTGGAGCTCCTGGATGTGGAAGGGGAAGAACACGTTTTCCATTTGCAGAAACCGGATTGTGAGAAAGCGGGTCACGTCATGGATCGGGTCGTCGCGTTCCTCAATCGCGCCTAAAGTCTTGCAAGCCATTTTGTGTGATGTGTACTGATAATGTTTGGAATAAAATGTTTGAAAAAAAGAGGGGGTGATTAGTGCTGTGTGCACTTAAATGGTTTATAAATTACTATTGATGTCATGTGCACTATTTTATGGACAAAAAAAATTTGTGTGCCTATAACCTATTTGAAACTTACACAACATTTATGAAATTTTAATTCTAACCAAACATAAATACGAGGAGATGATTGTTTCCTTAATTGTTTTATGATATGTGACTATCTAAAAAGGAAAATACGAAGAAAAATATAAATTGAATAGAGTAATTGGAGAGTTAAAAAATAATTAAAATAAAAAGTACTTCAATTTAAAAATGCCTAATTTGAAGAGTGTGACTTTAATTCTAAAATTTATTGAGCACAATAAAAAGATGTTTAAGTGGTCATTTCTTTGCTATTTAACTCCCACACCCTTCCCACATGCCACTAAAACACAACATATGTTTTTCAGTGTTCATAAATTGATTAAAATAGATTTTTCAAAATTAATAAGTATGAGGTGACGTGTTTCAATATATGTTTGCTTTAATATTAAAACACATAGAAATGTCATAAGTCTTTACAATGTATTTGGATTGAAGGAAAATAGAGGAGAATCAATTTCTATTTTGTTCACATATGGAGTATAAAAAACTAGTACTAAATCTATTATCGCAAACCTCTCGGTTCCGATCATACATTTAATTATCATAAAAAATCATCCCAATTAGTTACTAAAGTATGTAATTATAAAATTTGATATTTTATCACACTTATTATTATAATGTTAATTATTGTTAAAAAATAATTGACAGACTTACTTCGTTATCACACAATGACACATTTTCACTGTGTTAGCCACAGTCCTAACTATCTCAGTCTTAATAATTTTGTCTAGTTTAATTTTTTCGAATCAAACTGAATAAATTCTAATCTACAATTACTCTTAATTGGCATTAGATATTAGTACAAAAAGGTAAAATTTAAAAGTGCTAAAAAAGATTATTTTTATACTAAAATGTGCTAAAATTTTATGTTCAATTAAATTTCAATGTTTATTTGGTTTAAAAAAATTCAAAATACCCCGAGTATATAAATCGAGTATAACACTCTCTAAACCTGAGTAGATCCTCAAGCAAGTCACCGTTAGCTCTCTCTTTCTCTCATTTCCCCTCTGCGACGATTACTCTTTCTACCATGGAGAAAGCAGTTCTGCTGCGCTCTATATCATCTTCTACACCGCTCCTCTGTTCTAGATTCTTCGCTCGCTCTCACCATGGAATCTCCGCTCGATTCACCTCACTCTCGGCCAAGCGCCACCGCCTGCTCCACACCTTCCACCGCTGTCGCCGCGCATCCATCTTCGCCAACAACTTCCGGCTTTCCCCCGCCTCCTCCTCCTCTCATTCTCTGCTCTTCAGAAGGAAGTTCTCTCCTCTCTCTGCCCGAGCCTCAGCCTCTTCCTCGCCGCAGCTCTCTCCAGGCACTTTGTGTTTCTCGATTGACATTTATGTTCCTAATTTTATTCTTCATCTGGTGATTTTGGATTATTTTGTTTCATGTGGTGTTTAGAAGCTATTGGCTATGATGATGAAGTTTCTGAGAAGCTGGGATTCGAGAAAGTGCGGGAGCAGTTTATTGATGAGTGTAAATCAAGAGCTATTCTGTACAAGCACAAGAAGACAGGCACAGAAATTATGTCCGTTTCCAATGACGATGAGAACAAAGTCTTCGGTATTGTGTTCCGAACTCCTCCGTAAGTAAATCCTCCATTCCTCCTATACTTTTGTAATGACCTCCCTGTTCAATTGAGAAATATTCACCAATAGAAATGCCAATGAGCAATTTACATTGCTAATGCACAATAAGGTTCAATTAGGTTTTTTCATAGTCTTTTGGCATTGTGTAGCTTCCGAATCAGGAAATATGGAAGCGACATTACGCTTCCAAATAAAGAAGAAAATATGAAGGGACATTGATGCCGCTCATACTTCTGAATACCTAAAAACCTTTCCACTATGTTTGGCTCAAGGATTTTGGAAGGAAAAGAAAAGAAAATGATTTTATCTCATTTTCCTCACCGAAATGGGAGGAATTTGGTTTTCCTCTCCTCTGAGTACATTTTGCCTTCTCATTTTCTTTTCCTTCCACTTTTCTTTTCTTTTTCCTCTCTAACCAAACAAGAAAAATAGTTTTCCATTTCATTTCCTTTTCTTTCCCCTTTGAAATTCCTTGAACCAAGCATATAGTGTTAGGGAGTAGTTGGTTACTGCTTTCAATTTAAAGCCTCTGTTGGTAATGCCTATGCTGCTATGCAGGAAAGATTCAACTGGAATTCCTCATATATTGGAACATAGTGTATTGTGCGGTTCAAGAAAGTATCCCCTAAAAGAACCCTTTGTTGAACTATTGAAGGGCAGCTTGCACACTTTTCTAAATGCATTCACCTATCCTGATAGGACTTGCTATCCTGTTGCTTCCACAAATACCAAGGTGTAACTCATGGAATTTTGTTACTGAAATGCATTCCCCCAAAATATTGTTGTTTGTCTGATGAACGCATACTGATATTTTTCCAGGATTTCTATAACTTGGTAGATGTGTATTTAGATGCTGTACTTTTCCCCAAATGTGTGGTGGACTTTCAAACATTTCAACAAGAGGGCTGGCACTATGAGCTGAATGATCCTTCTGAAGACATAACTTATAAAGGTCTTTTTTTCACACACATACATGCATAGCCAAGTGCATAATTTTTTTCTTCAAAATATAAGAAATTGTCCATATTTTAATTTCAGGAGTTGTTTTCAATGAGATGAAGGGGGTATATTCGCAGCCTGATAACATATTGGGTAGGGTGTCCCAACAAGTAAGGGTTCCTAACTTTTACTCACTGGAAAAATTGCTTTTTGAACCAATCAAAATAAGCCTATCAATTCCACTAAAAAGCAGGGACTAACTGACTAAGGGACAAGTTGCACGAAGATGTTACCCTTACCCAAGGAGTAGATAGACTGTTTTGACAGAACCCTCGTCAAATAGTGAAAAGTAGTTGATAGTATACAAAACATAGTGTGATCTTACACATACACAAAGTGCTACTTTTGCTGCATACCAGAAAGCAACAAAAAAAGCAAACAAGAGCGCGCTAACTAACCTACAACCCCAAAACAACAATGGACTAAGAGTCTAAGACGCTCAACCCCCAATATTCATTGCATGCAACCCATGCAAAGACTCTACAACCCTAATACAATATCTACTATAACACTTGCCCAAGGTCACGTCTCAGAGAGATTTATGGCTACTCTGTCGAACTTTAGCTACTCGCCTACTCAACCCATGTTCTCCCTGACATACATCTTCTCTTCCTCTCTACAAAAATCCTCTCCATCTTCATATGTATCGTTGAAACATGACTAAACAACCACAATATAACCTCTCTTATATGTTTGTAATAGATCCCTAGTTAAGATCAAAATTCAAAACTGACATTCGGTACCCTCAAAAGCTTCCACAACTTTGTCCTTACAAATTGCTCTCTGTTAGTCTGTTGGCACAAAATCCAAAATGATTTGTCAGTATCCTGTTGTGGATATATGGTATTAACTTACTAGTTAAACATAGATTAAGACCTCAACAACTAAAATTAGTTTTTCTGCATAAACGGAGTGCAGGCTACAGAAATCAAGGAATTGCATTTACTTAAATGAACAATAAGATGCACGATCAAGCTTTTTCACTAATGTCGCTTGCAGGCTCTTTTTCCGGACAATACGTACGGAGTTGATAGTGGCGGGGATCCACAAGTCATTCCTAAGCTGACTTTTGGAGAATTTAAGGTGCGCTGTGCGCAGTGTGCACTCTGTTGTTTCCATTCAAATATAATTATATTTTGTTATAATTGATTAATACACCTGTAATTTCAAAATGTAGCAACTAGTAATTTCTGTATTTTATTTTATATTCTTTTTTTAACTATGTATTTAGAATTCCGTCCTTCGCTAATGAAGCTTAAAGCGTTGTTTTTTTACAACATTTTAACTTCATGCAAATAATGCACCAAATCAAATGCCATGTTAAACTTCTGTTGCTTCTTACATTCTATGTTGTTGTTGTTGTTGATATATTTATTTAGAATTCTAAATACTACGGAGTATTTTTATTGCTATAAAATCAAGATGATACAACAACAACCTAGTAATGTCTCAAAAGTGGGGTTTGTAGAGAGTAGATTTATGCATACCTTACTCTTATCTTAATAATTATAGGGTGTTTTGAAAGACAATAAACCTAAGACTATACTTTTAATCCTTTTTTTTAAATTTTAAATTCTTAATTTGAGACCTGCATTTTGGTACGCGTTTGTTTTGTACAATCCTTCTTTGTGGAACACAAATATAGTTTTTGTTTTAGGGCGAGCAATTTGGACCATCATATCTTATGCATTTATATGTTTGAAGAGAGGCATGTTCATTTTGTCATTTTTTGCAGTTGTACCCTCCTGACCACATAGTTGTCACAGTTTCTTGTTGTTTCTTAGGCATTCTTACCTTTTATTACGAGTCATAGAGTTTTGTGCTGTTTTTTAATTCTCTAAAGGCCTGAAATGTTGTGAAATTTCTAGTATCTAATATTCTAGTTTCGTGGTCTTTTTCCCCAAATATAATTATGCAGGAATTCCATCGCAAATACTACCATCCCAGCAATGCCAGAATTTGGTTTTACGGAGATGACGATCCTACTGAGCGTTTGCGCATCCTAAGTAGTATGTTTCATGTCATCCTTATAATGCTTTCTCGTCAGGTCTAAAAGTTTTAAAAAATGAAAATCAGCACCGAATATAACATAAGTAATGTTTGAAGTTGCATCTATATTCACTGTACTTTTTTTCCGCATTTTATCTGCGGTGTCTGATCCAAGCATTGTTCTTTTTTACGGCATAATTTATGTTTTTTAGAAGTACATGTATATGCTATGTAGCCATATGCCAAAGATCATGGAAAATGAAATCATCATGTTTCAAGGTTATATGATAAACAAGCCCTAAACGAATCTAAGCACTTGTGTTGCGATCATCAATTTGTCTTTAGTCTGTCAATTTTCTATTCATATGTCTTAAGAAGTGTCCTCGAAAAAAC